TTTTTTTTGAGATGGAGTCTCACTCTGTCACCCAGGCTGGAGTGCAGTGGCGTGATCTCAGCTCACTGCAACCTCCGTCTCCCAGGCTCAAGTGATTCTCCTGCCTCAGCCTCCTGACTAGCTGGGATTACAAGCGTGCACCACCATGCCTGGCTAGTTTTGTATTTTTAGTAGAGACGGGGTTTCACTCTGTTAGTCAGGCTGGTCTTGAACTCCTGACCTTGTGATACGCCTGCCTCAGCTTCCCAAAGTGCTGGGATTACAGGTATGAGCCACCGTACCCGGCCCACCTGAGTGGTTTTGTTTGAGACAGTCTGGCTCTTTTGCCAAGCTGGAGTGCAGTAGCACGATCTCGGCTCACTGCAACCTCTGCCTCTCAGGTTCAAGCCATTCTCCTGCCTCAGCCTCCTGAGTGCCTGGACTACAGATGCGTGCCACCATGCCCAGCTAATTTTTGTATTTTTAGTAGAGACTGGGTTTTACCATTTTGGCCAGGATGGTCTCGATCTCTTGACCTTGTGATCCGCCTGCCTTGGCCTCCCAAAGTCCTGGGGTTACAGGTGCCAGTCACCACGTCCAGCCTGAATACTTTTTTCCTTAGCCAAATAATTTACTTAAATGTCAAATTCTCAAATAAGTGCTTACTAGTTCAAGAATTCCTTCCTTCCATAGCTATTAACCTTCTAAGAGGAAAAGCTGTCTTTTTCAGATTAAAATGTTCAGCATTTAGTGGGGTTTATCACCTTCCATCCCTCATCCTAAGAAAATCTGGTAGAAGGAGCACAGGGAATGGGAATCAAGAGATCTTCATGCCAGCTGGGCGTGGTGGCTCATGCATTGTAATCCTAGCACCTTGGGAGGCCAAAGTGGGCAAATCACCTGAAGTCAGGAGTTTGATACCAGCCTGGCCAACATAACGAAACCCCATCTCAACTAAAAATACAAAAACTAGCCAGATGTGGTGGCGCACATCTGTAGACCCAGCTACCCAAGAGGCTGAGGCAGAAAAGCTACTTGAACCTGGGAAGTGGAGGTTGTAGTGAGCTGAGACGGTACCACTGTACTCCAGCCTGGGCAACAAAGTAAGACTCTGGAAAAAACAAACAAACAAACAACCTATCAAAGTCTACCAACCACAACAATGAACAGAAGACAAACCTCAACTCAAAAGTGAAATTCCTACCTAGAACAGCTATATTTATGTTGCCCATTTTCAATATCAATTTTATTAACTATCCTTGATTATTTTATGCTATATGTACCATTATGAAATGAGTTCTGGTTCCCTATAAGAATCCTGTTTACCTTTACTGGATAATGGTGAAAGGTAAACACAAAGCAAAAAACAAACTATGGGACAGAAACAGCCTTACACAACATAAAATCTGTGGCCAGTTCCTCTAAAACTTACTGGTTGTTTGTCTGTTTGTTTTGTAGAGATGAGGTCTCACTATGTTGCCCAGGCTAGTCTCAAACTCCTGGCTCATGCAATCCGGCTGCCTCTGCCTCCCAAAGTGCCGGGGATTATAAGCATGAGCCAGCTTAACTTACTGTCTTTATGAATATCCTTTTCCCTGATAAGAAAACTTAAAATAGTAAAATTCTGTAGAAACTGACAAAATTCATACTCAACGCTGAAGGAAAACATAACCAAAGTTTAATTTGACATAAATAAAAATCAGAATATATAATATATAATACAATATAAATCATGAGCTTAATACTTTGGAAATCTTACTTGAGGAAAGATCATAATGTTCTCAGATTAGACAACAGCAATTTCTTCAACAGTTTTAAAGACTAACTTATGTCATAGTTTTGTTTTTTTCTTTTTCTGAGAAAGGGTCTTGCTCTGTCTCCTAGGCTGGAGTGCAGTGGTGTAGTCACGGTTCATTGTAGCCTCGACCTCCTGGGCTCAGGTGATCCTTCTGCCTTAGCCTCCCCAAGTAGCTGAGACTGCAGCCACACACTACCATATCTGGCTAATTTTTAATTTTTTTTTTGTATAGATAGGGTCTTCCTATGTTGCCCAGGCTGGTCTCAAACTCCTGGTCGCAAGCGATCTGCCTGCCTTGTCTTCCCAAAGTACTAGAATTACAGATGTGAGCAACAACACCCAGCCTCTGTTAGAGCTTTTTAAGGAACCAAGTTATATGCTCTTTAGGCACCAGAAACCACTTAACCAGCCAGGTGCAGTCTATGGTAGGCTGCACCTGTAGTCCCAGCTACTTAGGAAGCTGAGGCAGGAGCACCCCTTGAGCCCTGGAGTTCAAGGCTGCAGTGAGCTACGATCGTGCCACTGCACCCCAGCCTGGGCAACAGGGTGAGATTCTGTCTTTGTTTGTCGTTGTTGTTTTATTTTGTTTAGATGGAGTCTCACTCTGTCGCCAGTGCAATGGCGCACTCTCAGCTCACAGCAACCTCTGCCTCCCAGATTCAAGCAATTCTCCCTGCTTCAGCCTCCTGAGCAGCTGGGATTACAGACATGTGCCAACACACCCAGCCAATTTTTGTATTTTTAGTAGAGACAGGGTTTCACCATGTTCACCAGGATGGTCTCAATTTCTTGACCTCGTGATCTGCCCGCCTCGGCCTCCCAAAGTGCTGAGATTATAGGCATGAGCCACCACGCCCAGCTGACTCTGTCTTTCAAAAATGAAAAACAACCCCTTAGCCATGTATATGCTGAACAAAAACTGACATACAGTAATTATCAATAAAAGCTCCTAGAAACAGACTAACATTGTTTTCAATTTAAAAACATCATGTAATAAGAAATATAAGAGGATTCAAAATATAAAAATATTTTTCCAACCCCAAGTTTGTGACCACTGCTTAATTTCCAGGCTTCACCCGTCATCTGATAAAAGCGCTCCTCCAGTTTTTTCAACTTCATTTCCTGGTGAGGTTTTAAAACGTTCTCTATGTATCTGCTGACCTGTTCAAAACAACAAATTAGGCGTTGTTACTATACATTAATGTTCCTAAAAAGGTATGCTGTCTATAAACTTGTAAACAGCCAAGTAAGAGCCCTGCTGGTTGAACAGAGCCGCTGCCACCGTGTTTGGCTGCTTGGTTGTGGGGAGGCACAGACAGCTGGACAGCAAGCTGGTCAGACATTTGTTTTTTACCTGCCTGATTATGAAAGTATCAACCAGGATGTGGTTTTTATTCTGGGAACAATCCCATTTCCTAAGAGAATGGGAGGATCTACTTTTCCTATCCTGATCCAAATGGAATGCCAGTATGGAAACTCCAAGGATTTGTCACAAATGGGAAACCAAGTGCCCTCTTCAGAATTTCAGGTCTTAAATCTGGAGAGGGAAGAGCAATATCCTTTTTTTTTTTTTTTTTTTTTTTTTTTT